TTCTTTTAAAAACATCAAAAATCTTACAGATGCCAAACTCTTGAAAGGTATAGTGTTAGAAGCCGTTCACAAAGAACGCGTTTTTCCATCCCAATGCACTACTTTTCTATTGTTTTTCTATGTAAACATGCACTAGACGGACACATATGACCGTAGCGCTTGTGTCTCGTGTCTTTTGCAGTGTCTCGCACACATGAGCGCCGCTCGCACATGATTTTTTAGGGTCTTCATGAAATGTCTGCAACATACTTTGTTTAAAATTCCTCAGTTATCGTGTAAAACATCACCCTTTTTACCTTGTCAAAAACAGCTCTGATCACAGCGACCCGTTTCGGTGCATGTCTCTTTAAATGATAATTAGCTACTGCTCACCCCGCCCCTCTCTTCTGTTTTCTGTGTATTCAGGGGCGCATTACCATCAAAAACAAAACTAATCCACTGCGTCCTCAGTGGCACTGATGTCAGGAGAAAATGAAAACTCTTATGTTCACTTTTATATTCAACAAAACAAAATACAAAACACCTGCATTGCCTACGAGACAGTTGTCGCTACAGCTGCTCAAACGTGGAGAAAATGGCGAACAGCGTACAACTGGCTGAGGGTGGAGATATGCTAATACAGGACAGTCCGTCTGCGGTCGTGGGCGGGGCCTGAGCAGTATGACATCATATTGCTCAGAAAATCAAAACGGATAATTGAGACTGTTTAGTTTTTTTGGGAATTAAAAAAAGGAGTGAATGGATTTTTATCATTGGGTGGTTGTGTCCACACACTGCTAAGACTTATTTATATGCAATTTTGCATCCGATGTCCCCTTTATAAGGCCCTGTCCACACGAATGCGGTTATTTTTAAAACCGCAGCTTTTTCTGCATGGTTTGGCCGTTCGTCCACACGCAAACACAGCACCAGGTCACTGAAACCGAACATTTTTGAAAACACCTGCCAGGGTGAAGATTTTCAAAAACTCCAGTTGCAGTGTTATCGTGTAGACAGCGAAACCGGAGTTTTTGGCTTGTGACGTTGGAGCCTGCGCTGTTGTCTCCGCCTACTGGAAACTTTTTCAGGCTTCTGATTGACCAACATGGCTTTACGGTTGAGATTATATCGCCACCTGTTGGTTTGGCATGCTCTTGACAGTGCTTCATAGCATGCGTTTGCGGTTTCATGTGGACAGAGATTTTTTTAAAAACGGAAGAAGGAAAAATTCCATTTATAAAAATACCCGTGTACGTGTGGACATGGCCTAAAAGAATTTCAACTTTTACACGCAGCGTTGCTCATCAATGTCAGTTCCAAAACAGTGGACCAATCAGAAAACTCCGGAGGCGGGGCAAGCGTTGCGGGTCTTTGTTAGCAACATAGCGGAAGAGGCGTTCTGGGCAGTGCTTTTTTTTTTCATTCCTGAGTGCTGCCTCTCGTGTTTTTAGATGCAAAGACGTGTTCTGTGTGAACGGCCCCTGACTCTAATTTCTAACCAGAAATTCAAATTTGGACAAAAAGCGAGTCAAAAAGCCTTGTTTGAAAGTTTTGAAAAACAAAATTTTTTAAGTGTTTATTAGTCTACATTCCTTTTCATGTAATTCCAGTTCAACTTCTTTTACAGTGTGGCCGATTTACTTCAAATTCACACTTATTAATTAAACAGGAGCCAGTTTTTCAGCTCTGAATTTTGCCCTGTCAGAGTAATCATTCACATTTGAGTCTGTCTGTCTCGGGTCATTTTCTGATCCTATTGTCTCATCTTCTCTGTATTGCTTCCTTTCTTCCCTCTCATTGTTTCTGCTTCGGAAAGGCCAGAAATGCTTTATAAAGTTGCTAATGGTGCAGTCAATGGAGAGTGATTTTCAGATATCACCCCTCAGAGACACTTTAGACCAGAAAGGGCTTTTCGTCTTTCACAGTACAATGAGTGTTACCAACACAAGTGAAGACATCCACAGGTGAATACAAATGTCCACAGGAATGAAGTTGAAATTCACTATGATCACTAATACATATCTGTGTTTTCCCCCCAAAGCTTTCTTTCAATGTCACACTATTATTTAAAAATAATTAATCATTTATTTTCCCCATATTTTCAGGTTTTTCATTGTGGTGTGATCCATTTCAGATAAAATGCTTCCCAAATCAGTAAATGAATGACTGAATGAATGAATGAATAAATACAATTAAAAAGTGCTCATTGCACTGCAAATCATATTCTTAATCAGTATTTTAAAGTATGTTTCTTTAGGATTTTATCTGAGGCCTTTATCATTAATACACTTTTATTATTTTATTTTTTATGTTTTATTTTATTTTTTAACCATTTTCTTCATCACTCATACGCTGTTTTTTATTTTATTTTTTATTGTATTTTTATACTTTGTATTCTTTATATTCTTTTATAAAGCATGTTTCTTCATGATTTTGTACTAGACCTTCATTGCTTCATTGCATCATAGTTTTTTCTTTTCTTTTCTTTTTGTTTTATTATTTTTGTAAAGCATATTCCTTTAGGATTTGTATTGAGACCGTTATCACTTATACACTATTTAAAATTTTTTGTATTTTAATTTTTAAAGCATGTTTCTTCATTTCAAAGAAAAAATACCTAAAAAAGGTAACTTTATTTACTTGCATAAAATAGCTATAAGATATTGAGACTTGTTTTAAGAGAATAAATCTTGAAATAAGTAAATTTTTCTTACCTTGAGTTTGTTATATTACACAATTTAACTTAGAAATTTATCTTGTTTAAGGATGTTGAGAAGTTTTTACTGGAAAAACAAGAAATAAATACTAATTACTAAAGCTTTTTTAATATCTTTTTTTTATAAAAATTTTTTTCAGTGCAGTGCAGTCAGACGGTTTCTTCTCGTTTAAGTGGGCGGTTCTTAGCTAGGATGTGAATCAGACTTTATGCTGTTAGTCAGACGTCTGGCTACACAAGACTAATAATCTGATACCATTAAATAAAAGGATAGAAAAATTCCCATAACCTCAGCACACGCTCTCTCTCTCGCACACATTTATCTCCTCTTTCTCCTCTCACTGTAATTTTCCTCATTTTTATATTTCTTAGAGGCATTATAAAATCATTTATCCTGCTCCCTTCCGCCCCCTTTCTGACAGAACCTCTACGGTTCTTTTTCTTTTTTTGTTCCACAATATATATTATTTCCTCTTTTCCTCGCCTTCTCAGTTACCAAATTACTGTCAGATTTTCTCTCACTTTTTTGATCTAAAGTATTACCCTTCCAAACGTTTCAACTGTGCTTCTAAACACCAGTTTCAAAAGGAAATAAGAAAGAGGCGATCGCTTTCTTTCAGAGCTTTTCCATTTTGCTGGTCTTCAACACCACATCTCCTCACCTCCCACCTCAATCTCCTCGGCTCTGAAAGTCTCACGGGCGTGCTGTGACTCAGACCTCACCTAAACTCTCATGACGGGGTCAGTTCAGTTGTAATATATTTCACATGTGTTTTAGTCATTTTAACTGGATTACACGGCTGCTCTCCGTTCTGCCCATCTCAGTGAAAATGAATCACTTTTCTGAGCAGCTTGCTTGCGTTTTATTTCACCGCCCCCTCTCACTTCACTGCTGCACCAGAAAAATCCATTTCTGTCCTTCAAACAAAGTTTCTTTACCTAATTAAAAAATGCCAATGGGGCAGTTTAGTACAGGTCAGCTTAATCAAATAATGAATTAGATGTGCCCCCATGCCTAATAAACATTTATTAGCATAGATTATTTTTATTTTATTATAAAGCATGTTTTTTTAGGATTTTTATTTAAGGCATTTATCACTCACATGCATTTTATTCTTATAATTATTTTTATTATTATTCTTTTAGTTTTTGTACTTTATATTATTTTATTATTAAATATGTGTATTCGGGATTTTGTACATGAGACCTTAATCATCCATGCAATATTTTTTTTAACCATGTTTCTTCATTATGTACTTCATCACTCATATGCTAGTTTTCAATTGTATTCTTTTATTTATTATTTTTATTCTTTTAATTATTCTTTTATTAAGCATGCTTCAGGATTTCGTACTTGAGGCCTCCATCACTCATACAATATTTAATTTTATTTGTTTTATAATTTTATTATAGAGCATATTTCTTCAGAATTTTATTTGAGACCTTCACTCAAATGCTATTTTATTATTTTTATATATATTGTTTTTAGAGCATGTTTCTTCTATGTACTTCATCACGCATACACTATTTTCATATTTATTTTATTTTTAGAGCATGTTTCTTCATGATGTAGTACCTCACTCATACTATTTAATGTTTTTATTTCATTTAAGTTTTATATTATTTTATTATAAATCATTATAAAACACTTGAGACCATTATCACTCATAAGCAATTATTTGACAGATTTGTTATATTTCAATATTTATTTATTTATTTATTTCTAAATCTGTTTGTTTTATTGTTTTAAGCATGTTTCGTCAGGATTTTTACTTGTTTTTTTTTTTGTGTGGTTTTTTTTTTTGAGTTTGGTATGTTTTTTAGGATATACGTGCCTGAGAAAGCTGTGTCACTTTGTCCTTCAGATGACACAACCACTCATTTTAGCAGCATTTAATTTAGTTAAAAATGTGTGCATAAACTGTTAAATATGTGCCCCCTTTGAAATGCTAAATGATCGAAACAGCCTCATGACATTTCATAAAAAATTGAAAAAATTTTCCTTGCTATTTTGAAGTATAAGCATGGTCCTAGTGAGCTGCCTTGCTGCAGCATCCTCACCAGAGATAGATAGATCCTCACCAGTGACTGATTTGGAACACTCTACATAGGCAGCAACTCTGTGTGCCACATAAATAGCACCATGCACTCTCAATTGATTCCAATAGAGTTTGACATTAGCTTGTTGATAAGCTAGTGACATGACTCAGATTGAATAAACGTGTTAACGAAAAGTTAACAGCAACATGCAGTGTTAATGCATTAACTTTGACAGCTCTAATGTTAAGCAATCGTCTCTCTTCAGGTTCTTTGTCTCTGAGTGTGTTCCTGGTATCGGTGGGTTTAACGGTGTGTGTCGTGTGGCTGGTGGCGCTATGCGGGGTCTGTGGATGGTGTCAACGCAAATTGGTGAGTGATGCACAACAGGAGGTTTACAGTGTCTTAAACAAATGTGATAATAGACATTGACATCTGTTAGTGTGTACGATTGCATATACAATCAGTTATGTAAAAGTTAATATGCTTTTGTAGTGTGGTTTCATAGTGTCTTCTGTTTCATGGCTGTTTGTCTATTACACTCTGACAGCAGTGTACCAACATCTGAAAGATAGATAGATGCATGTGCTCTGTTCCAAAACCTAGCTGGCTGACCATGTAGGCAACATTTTTAAGGCATTGTAAGCATAGCATTTAGCAAAGAAAGGCAGGGAGTCTTTACAAGTATGTCTTGCAGAGAATGCAGTCTCAGAATGCACTGCAACAAGCTCAGTAAAAAAAAAAAAGATATTTAATTAATAAAACATTAAATTAACCTCAGTTGTATTGATAACAGTTATAATTAGATAATCTAAGTAAAAATGAATGATTTTTATTTGCATATACTAAATGTTTTTTAAAGAAGTCTCTTAAGCTCAAGGCTGCATTTTTTTGATGAAAAATACAGAAAAAAACATAATATTGTGAAATATTATTACAATTTAAAATAACAGTTTTCTATTTTTATATAGTTTTAAGCTGAATTTTCATCAGCCGTTGCTCCAGTCTTCAGTGTCACATGATCTTTCAGAAATCATTTTAATATGCTGATTTATCAATGTTGGAAACAGTGCCTAATAATTTTTTGTTTAATAATTACCACCAGAACTGACTGGAGTAATGTCTGCTGAAATTCACAATTAAATATTTTACGGGGGGTTTTTTGTTTGTTTGTTTGTTTTTAATAAATGCAGCCTTGGTGAGCATGAGAGACTAAAAAAGTTTTTTTTTTAAATGTAGAGATCCCAAACTTATACACAGTAATGTATGCATTTACATTAACTCCCGACTCTGTTTCAGTTAGGATTCCACAAAGTGGTTGCTAATCTTCCTGGGGTCCACAAATCTTTACAAAATAGCAAAAATCATACAAATAATTAAAATAAGAACAAAAATTAAATTACACTAATCACATCACAGAACTATACACATTAGCAGTAGCAGCACATAACACATACATCTACATATTTATACATACTGGTAAAAACAAATGTATAGCCTGAATGCACTGTAAGTCGCTTTGGAAAAAAGCATCTGCTAAATGCATAAATGTAATATTTATAAGCATATCTTTACATTTTCTTCAAAACACATATGTGCAATTACTCTATCGTATATTTATATGGAATCATATTCCAAGCAACAGAGCCACGATTGTCTTTTTCATCAAATTTGTTTGTGGACATGGTAAAGAGTGTTGAGCCTTACTCACTTGACGTGTTTTATAATCATGTCTTAGAAGACAGCTACATATTTAGGCAGCTCAGGTTTTGGAGCAGAGCCATCATGTCATCAAGTTTGAAATGGAAACCTACTATAACTGTGTTGGGTGCTCAGTTGTAAAATAGAAGAAAATAAGGAGTTGCCTTGGGGTCATCTAATTATTTTTGTTTGCCATTTCCACAAATTGATGTTCTGCACACAAACAGATTGATGAAAAACTAAAAACGCAATGGAAGGATTTAACAGCGTATTGTTAGTATTGCAGGAGGAGGGGGGCATGATGTGCCCTCGTTTGTGTTTACATCAGACCTCGATCCAGATTGCCTTTCAACAGTTGTAAATCTTATTTTCTGTCTGGATAATTAGCTGTTGAGCCTGTAGTTTTCTGTTCAGCCTCAGCATCTGCAAAACAAGGTTTGCCATTCAACTCGTGTAAAGCAATTCAGCGCAAGGCGGCCAAATGAGACCGAATCGTGAGGGAGGAAAGAACGTGTATTAAGGAAAAATAATAATTAGGCTAAATGATTTATATATAAACATGAAAATGTGATTACACCCACTTTTTGATTAATAGACAGTTGATAAATAGAATCCACTAACAAAATTAATCACCTGGGCTCACTTTAATTGAATTACCCTCTTCCCAAACGGATCACCTATTATTCAAACTTAATTACCTTTAACACATTTAATGTGTCACTTGCTTTTTGCCTAGAAGAGTAGCCGAATGTGGAGGCATGGTTTCTCAACGGTGCATAATACAAATCCAGGTTTTCCACTCGTCAGCTGAGAGGAGCGATGGGTTTCGAGATGGGCAGCGCTAGTGAAAGAGAGGAGGAGTGAGAGGCAGACGGGAAGACTGCAGGGTGGCTAAAAAGAGATTTCAAGCTTTAATTACACTCAGTAATGACTTCCCCACCACGTGCCCGGCCTGCGGGCATCTACCGTCTTAATGTTATTACAATGAGGGATTACAAACTCGATTCTCGTTTTATTCGTTCATGCTATTCGGCTCATTTTCTGGTGCATCCTCTTTTGCCATTTTCAGACGTGGTACTTTTCAGTCTAAATCAGAATGTGATTGTTCTCCCGTCCTCTGTTTTCATAGGCTGTTCTTAATTGCTGTTTGGTGACCATAAAATGATTAGCAAAATAGTTTTGTCATCAAAAGAATGGTGTTTTCACACTAGAGCTTTTAGTGTGGAGCAGGCCCATCATTGGGGGGCAACTGGGAATGTTGTCCTGGGAACTGTGAATCTGCCAAACTCAAAGCTTTTTATTAATGCAAAATTATATATGTGACTGATTTCTAGAAGTGTGAACCTCATGAAAACATTTTGAGAAAAAACTGGGTGTCTCTTCAACTTAAGTGCGTTTATTTTATTTTCCAACAATGTTCCACAGTGGACATGAATGTCTCAGGAAAAGTCTGTCATTTTTTTTTTTT